CAAAAGGGCACACATTTCGACGAAAGGAATATAAACAAGTTAGAAGTTGTGATAGAAGGGGAGTTGTATAGGACATTAAAGAGTAGATAGATGGACCAGGACAGAAAAAGGAGTATTAGTCTAATGATTATCGGTAGAACGTTGGTTGAGGGATTGACTTCACTTGTCTCTTTGACGAGTTTGTGGCTTGGTGCGGAGAGTAGCAAGATTCACTGATGATGCCGGCCAAATGTCTGATCATGTACTAAGTCCTCAGTCGGATGTTGGGAATTATGATAACTACTAGGCCAGAGGACTTCTGACAATGTGCGTTCTACTAAGTCTCCCTGACAATAAGACCAAGTTGCGACGACGAGGTCAACCCTCTTCTATACATCGAAAGGAGACTGCGGCCAAACCGTGGGTCACACCATCTTGCTCTCCATATTTTCGATAAAACTATTTAGAAAGGACACAAATTGACTCAAGTTTAGCATTAATAGTCATCACAACTAATTAGCGGAATGAAGTGCTTCCATAATTAAAGCCTAATTTAAAGTTCTTAGCTAATAGCCATTTCGTAATCCATGGGCAACTCTCGAAATTGAAATGTCGTCCTCATTATTTTTCATAAGTATGCATAAGTAATATTGTATTTCGAGCATTACTTTAAATTAGGCTTTAATTATGGAAGCACTTCATTCCGCTAACTAGTTGTGATGACTATTAATGCTAAACTTGAGTCAATTTGTGTCCTTTCGAAATAGTCTCTTAGAGTCTTAATTCCCGACCAAAATTTTTACCACATTTTATTTTTATACATTCATGTTCTCTGTCCCGATTATATCTAAGATTTGTACTAAATGATCTGCATAATTTCTAATTTATATTCGTTCGCTGAATACATCCTACAGTCTACCCATTCACTCAAGACTCTCCAGGCTACTCTATCATCTTCATTAAGCTTAGATATAAAAATATCAATACTTCTTACATATTTTCCTTGTCTATCTCACAACATATTTTTTCATCGTATTTTGCTCTTTGAGATGCTTCCAACTTTCGTCATACTGCCTTATGTGCAACCTGTAGTCCGCTTCCCTAAGTTGCATTTGGTGTTAGATTTGCAATTTATATGCCCGTAAGCCAATAAGCAACAATCTCTCATGCACTCAATATTCTTCCTGCTTGCTCGTTTCCCCTTTTCCTGCTCATAAGAGAACCATCCATCCAGAGCATTCATACGCACATGCTATAATGGTTACTCAGGTAATTCTGGTGTTACCTAGTTTTTACGTACATAAATATTATGTTTATATTCTAACGGAGTCTCATCGGTTAACTTAGCAACCCTATTTTATTTCGAATTACTAATATCTCCTTTTTACCATGAATGTGATATTGTTGTCGATTCTCCATAGCTCTACTTAGCCAGCTAGAAGTTGCCTTACTCTTTGCCGAACCATTATTTCTTTGTTATTCTGCGCATTCCCTTCCCGTTTTCAAATAATTCACCCTTCTCCACGTAAAGTGGTGGCTTCCAAGTAAGTCAGTGGCTGGCACTATGTGTTGATGAAATGAAGCTCGATTTGCCTCAAATATTCGTCACTCGGCATCAGACCAACGGAACTGAGCTATACGAGGAGGGGGACTTGGCTGCAGGCATGCGACAGAAACACTTGGTTAAATTGGATAGAGGGCTGCAAAAAATTTTAGCCAAAGAAAAATTAATAACAAAGGTGAAAAATGACAGAACCAGAGATGACATAATGCATTCTGTTTCTCGTCAAAATGGCCAGTCGTTCCATTCGCAAACTTTGAACGACGTCTCTAATATTTTAGAAGATTCCCCTTCAGTTTTATATCAACTCGAGTCTAGGCCATCGCTGTCCAGTTTTGATGGGCTGACAACAACCTCACTTATCAATTCGAAGGAGTCGGCTACAGTGATGAGGCCGGATAGTATGCTGAATGCCGCTTCGGGCTCGTCAACTTTGCCAATTCCATCCAATATTGATGCTCACTATGGTCCCTCGGTGCTGCTAACCAGGCCCCAAAAGTTTCCGAGAAACTTTTCGAATATAGCGTCACCGCTTTCTGAGATTAGCCATCCAGCCAGCTCGAGCTATTTGTATTGTGATTATCCGACTTCCCGTTCTCGACTCATCTACCTGAGTGAATTCTTTAGACAGCCCCCAATCAGAATGTCTTGCAGCTCTTGCGATATGACTCAGCCCTTGGATCTAAATAAGCCTCGATGCGGGCCAGTCACTTGGCGGCTGCTGCGCATGACCAACGCCAGACTACCTTTGGACTATCAAGTCAGAAACTTCAGTGTAAGTCAACCCACTTTAAAACGAAGATGCGAAGAATAACTTGGGTTCGATGAATCTTATGAGATAATCTTTCTGGGAAGACCTTCATATTATATGAAAGTGTACGGAGAATAGATTCCTGGGTTGATCTGATCAGAAGACGACGGCTGAATTCCTTTATACTGCAGCCGTTTGAACTTAATGCGGCGTTCAGGTTGACGCAGTCCACGAGACAACCTACCTTGCTTCGGGTGAAAACGGCTGCGCTTTCCTCCATCTTATGATGGACATCATCAGAGCTGGAACTCATTCTTGTAAAAGTCTCACGTTAATACTCAGTCGAGAAGACTATTCTGCTCTATCTCACCTCTTATATAGAATTGATTAGGCACAAAAAAATTATGCGAAGT